CTGAAAGAAAACTTAACAATAAAATCTGTTTAATATATATGAAGGAAGTATTTTTAGCAATATCGCGTAGTTTTCCATCTTGATTAGGCGTCAACATACTTTTTTTCACGGTGGACAATGTGGAATTTTCTTACCTCTGCGGATATTTGCTCGAGTATGTAATCCCGCCATCTCCGACCAAGCTGACGTATCCCAGAGCTTGTGAACCTCCCTGGACCGTGTAGGTAACCTCTCCATTAGCACCAGAGTCTTTGTCTAATGCCGTCACTGTACCCAGAGCTCCAAGTTCCTGCGTTTCTGATACGACGAATGACGTCACTGACGACGTAAATTCCGGTGTATTATCGTTAACGTCTTTCACGGTTATGGCTATCTTTGTCGTTCCTGCAAAGGGAAAAAACGTCAAAATATCTAAAGGCTAAGACCGTAAACATTGTATGACCTATGTCCACCATTTATGTTTGCCTACTTCGTTTTGGTGGATTGTGGTTTAGATAGGTATGACGTTTCCTCCATATGGTGAAACTTTGTAATACAGAGCTTTCCCTTTGTCCATCACGAGGGTTATCTAGATGTTAATTTACCTGTCAGTCCGTGTTCATCCACAGCTCCGGCAGTAAGCAGTACGTCAGTCGGCATTGCGTTATCGTCAACGTCATAGTTGATGCCAAATGTAAGCTTCTTGTCGTTGTTGATTAACGAGAACCTCTCGCTGTTGTTGCCGGATAGAAGGACGAGATCAAGCTTGTCGCTGTCAGGATCTGTGACTGTTAAACCAAGATCGCATTGTGATACTCCTATCTGAAAAAAATTCATGTATTGTGTGTGAGGGAAATTTTACCAGGTCAGCGCCAACTTTTTTCAGATTACTGATGGACGTGGTATATAGCGTTGACTTATTGACGAACCGGCGAATATGACCATTTTTCAGAAAATCACTTTTTGAGATATTATTACTTAATGGATTATGCACTTTCGTTTGATATTAGTTGTTAAGATGTAATACTTGTTTTTGACTGCCTTTTCGCATAAAAGAGTGCTGTTACTTATCGACAAAGTGACGAATGATCCCCGCAGTTACTATTGACAAACATAGTGCCGAATCTCAATAACCATTTTTAAGTCTTATCCACAAAGTGGGGAATGAAAGGCGATTATAACATGTTAAGTAATAGCCAATATATCATGGTCCCACTTTTCAGCGAGAAGTGGCGAATAAGTCATTATTTGACATTTATTGGAATTTAGAAGTGACGAATAACTATACCTCTTCCGAACCCCATCAATGCCCCCAATTTACCAAAAGGGACATAAAATTTGTAGTTAAACCCGTGGAGCATAGAGATTGAAGTAATATATGACGGCCAGCATTATTAAAAATAGCGTTTCATTAAATTGTAGGCCCAGCCGAAATTAGACCTAAAACTTCAATTGCATTTTTCTCAAAAAGTGAAAAATGTTCATATTCGCCAGTTCGTCAATAATTCGACGATAGTGCACAGCCTCGGTTGATTGTTCCATGAATGATGATGAGACGTTTTTTTTCCATGTCAGCATGGACTCCAACTAACAAGAAAGTTCAATTTTCCGGGACCTTTACAGCAAGCGAAGCCTCGTGGCCCAATACGAAAAGTTTTCTTACCTCTGATTCATAAAGACTACAAGAATAGGACTCCTCTTTGAATATTGGTTCCTCATTCACGTCCAATACGGCAAGGTTGACATAAGCATCTTCATTGTATAAGTAGCCGTCATAGAGGATGCAAGTTATCTTGTACTGATTGGTGGTCTCGTAGTCCAGAGGTTCGGGTTCGTTGATGTCGTCAGCTAATTTGAGCTTATTTGCTTAAAAAGATCTCAATGATTTTAGAATTTTACAAGATGTATATAGCCGTCTAAATATTTGCAATGTCAACAATCCGTACAACTTTTCAGAAAAGCGTATTGGCGGAAATGAAATGAATGGAGTTTTACGTCCTGCTTTTCTGCACCATGTGGGCTAATGAAGACGGGCAACGCCATGCAGAGTGCAGTGAGGGAAATGTTGCCAGGACAGCGGCATTAGCCTGCTCTTTTTCGATTTCCAACTGTCGAGGGATCTTTAACGTGCACAGCCCGTAGAACACGGGGCCTCGGTTTATTGTCCCATCCGAACGACTAGACGCTTTTTCCATATCAGCCCCTCTTACCTGCATCAGTGACAGGGAGAAACCGGGTTGAAAAATCCTAAGGTATTATCCCGACCTATGCCGGGATTGAACCCCGGACCTTCAGGTTAGCGAGCAAGCGTCTAACTCACTGAGTCACCGCGGCTCCCGTATTGGCGGAAGTGAAGAGATTGGTAGTCATGCCCAAATAAGCATGCGATATCCTACTGGTAAAATAAAGTTTACTATGCCCAAAGTTTCAAAAGGGTTTGGACAAGTAAAACGCTGTGCCTTCCATTAAATCATTTGAACGAATTCTTAGCCCACGTTCACGCTGCACCATCACAGACAACAAAATTTGACATTTAATGTCAGAATTATTTTCGACCGAAGGCAAAAATTAGATTCCATCTTCAAAGCAAAATGGCAGCAGGATACAAATAGCGTACAATATCAACAGCAAGCAGATCCACTTACAGTTCGATTCAAATGTGAATTTATATTTCTCCGATGCCGGCCACACCGAGCAAATAGGTTCGATATCCTGGTAAGGGTCGGGATCTGTGAAACTTAAGACTGTTATAACCTTGCCTTCGGGAGCATCCTCTTTGATGGTCAGGTTTGCTGGTAGGTTGGTGAACGTTGGTCGCTCGTTCATATCTGAAAACAACACTTAAAGATGGGTTCCCGTATTTTCATTTATGACAATGGAAATGCTAATACTTATATGAATAGAAAGTAGAGGTGTTCTAATGACTTGGAAACATACCCGTTTGTCTCACATGTCCATAATTAATTCATAATTAGCTAAATTAGAAGAGAATTCCAATGAATGACCGATCAAGAAAGGTCAAAAAGTCTATTTTTGTTCATCCAGACTGTACATACATGGACTTTTATGATTGGCTAAAATTGTATGAAATAAGAACATAATGATATGATTAAGAATACGTGATAATTCATTAGAAACACCAATTAATCAAATAGTTTGCTAGTTTGAATGTTTTTTTTTAAAGTTCCTTTGAACGTTATTCGATGAAATTGTCGGCCAAGGCACAGAGTGATATCAAGTGCTTCTGAAGAGTGAACTGAGAGCCCTGAGATATCTCAGATT